TATACATAAAAATATAAAACTAAATTAAAGTGATTTGGAAGATTGGATTCTTTAACTAATTTAGGGATCATGCTTGGACATAGAATTTGAAAAATAATGGGAAACATCAATAAAGAGTTAATTCAGATACGGGAAAGAAGAACAATTTATAGATAATAAAAAAAAAAATAAACCAACGGTTTTATTAATTTACCAAATAATCTTAAAAATTTATTTTTATTAAATTTAAGCAAATGCAAAATACATATCAATAGGAGATGTGGAATTTTGTATTTATCATAATATCATGAAATAAACTTTATTGATATATTGGAAAAAGCAATTCAAAGCAACCCTAATACAGATCTGAAGAGGAGCCTCGAATAATAAATAGAGAAGACACTAAAAGATGTATAACGAGATTAAATGGAGTTATGATTTATAAATAAAATAAAAATAAAAATAAAAAAAACAACTTATTGAATATTATGTGTATTATTGCTTATGATCTTTAAGAAGGAATTATTATGTAATAATATTGCTTTAGGAATATAACCCAAATTACAATAAATGTGTTTTAGTGTTCACAACATCACCAAGCTAATATCGATTTCACTTGGTTACACTTTCGCACCTTAATGAATTTAGTTCTAGTGAGATCACAAATGATTGTTATAATTAAAAAAACTAAATATTTTGAAAAAAATAGCAAATCACATCTAGAAACATCCATTGCATTTTCACAGTCAGGAATATTATTAATGATAAAGTAGATTTTCATTTGCTTACAATGTTTTCTTTAAGGATCAAATTATTGAAACCAAGTTGGAAATAACATTTTGCCATTTTACTTTTCAAGATATAAAATGTTAAACAATATTGATAGATTAGATTGATTTAACTTAAGCATTCTATTATGATATCGTCAAATTTATGAAATAAACTAGTCATATTAATAATACGGTAAATGTTTTTTACACAATTCATAAGTATTAAAATTCACATAAATACAATGTACTACAACTTTAATTGATTAAAGAAAAACAGCTGAATAAGGAATATATTAAATTATTAAAGTCATCGTTTGATAATATATTTCAGATTGACTTCCGACTTATTATTCGATGAATGATTATCAATGTTATATAAGTTTTCAAGGCGATTACTAAACTATGGTCTTATTTTTATTATTATAGATAGACATTAATAATAAATTATGATGTGATAGCTTGTTTGGAAATTGTATAGAATCCAAAAAATGGTTTCAAACCCTGACTTATAAATTAACAGGTAATGATGGGTGGAATTTGGATTATAATTTACTTTATTTGCAATCATTTCTAATAATGCTCTGATTGCAAAATTTTAGGTCCATCATTTGATTACACTAAAGAATACAATAATTTAAAAATTTGAGTCAAGCCACTCTATAAATATTGCGAGGAAAATGTGAAAAATAATGTAATTTTATTAATATAGTACTAAAAAAATGATTGCTATTAAGAATGTCTTTATTATTTAATCGGGTAAACTAATAAAAGCATTTAGATCATTTTACAAAATGTGATTTGCAAAAATACAACATTTTAGTATGTTATACTTCCTTAGCAAACTATCCAAAAACATATACTCTAATCCATAAGAAATTAAATAAGATGATTATTCCCTAATTGATGAAGAAATTAAAGAAGTAAATGCTTAATGTATTGAAGTATGCATCTACGATTATATATTTTGACAATATGTTTTTTATGGAGCATCCTAAGAAAATTGCCTAAGGTATGTCTTTCTTAAAAATTCTGGATCTTGCACATCTTTAGCTATTTTTGATTTCAATATTGCTATTGAATCGCAAATTACCATCCAATTTCTTCATTGTAAAGAAAACTAAAATCCATAATCAACATTTGTACACTTCGTTTGTAAAGAGAAAATTTTTTATTAAATAATTTGCATCCTCTATTCGTATTAATCTTTTCAGATCACTCTATTTTATCAAAGGATAATCGATTTTTTTTAGAATACATAAAGAATAATTGACAATTCAATTAATATTTTCAATCATAAAAAATATATATATATATAATAAAATATATATAATGAATCATTTATATATTATTATTATGTTCTTGATATTAATCAATTCTGTTTTTACTAAAACTCTATCTAGCTATCCAAAATATAATTTCCTTTTTAATTAAAAAGATTTCGTAAATTTATGCCTTGATGATTTATAAAATCTCCTTTAAAGATTATAGCTCCCTATGCTGAAAATTTAGGTGGTTTTTCAGATATAATAAGAATAGGTATATTGGTATTGTCTAAAGAAAATGTAAATAAATACTTGCATTCTCATAGATTTTGTCTAAAACTTGGGTTTCAAGAATATCAGGATAGTTAAGTTGCGATGGTAATGATTATTGCTCTCTCTAAACATCCCATAAAATGATAGATTTGTCCTCATATCCAGATGCTAATATAGTACCTCATGGAGAGAAGGATACTGATATCACATATCCATTCTAACCATCTAATTTAGACTTTTGTTGTCCTGTTTTAACATCCCATAAACGGATTGAGCTATCCCCACTACCAGAAGCTAATATAGAACCATCATGAGAGAAGCACACAGATAATACTAAATCGCTATGACCTTCGAATTTAGATTAGATTTATCCTGTTTGACATCCCATAAAAAAATAGAATTATCGTAACTACCAGAGGCTAATATAGATCCATCAGGAGAGAAGCATACTGATGAAACCCAAGCACCGTGACCTTCCAATTTAGAATTTAGTTGCAATGCTTTCACATCCCATAAACGGACATAAATAAATGAAGGTATCTCTGCTACCAGATGCTAACAAAGTTCCATCGGGAGAGAAGCATACTGATTAAACGGAATTGGAATGACCCTCTAGTTTAAACTTTTGCTTTCCTGTTTGACATCCCATACTCGGATTGATTTATCTCCACTTCCAGATGCTATTGTGTCTCCATCAGGAGAGAAGCAAACCTATTATACAAAACTACTATGGCTTTCTTATGTAGTCTTTTGTTGCTCTGTTGTAATATCCCATAAACGGATAGATTTATCTGCATTACCAGATGCTATTGTAGTACTATCAGGAGAGATACAAACTGAATAGACATATCCATTTGGACCATCTAATTTGAGCTTTTGATGCCCAGTTTTAACATCCCATAATAGAACAGATTTATCTTCACTTCCAGATACTAGGGTAGTTCCATTATGAGAGAAGACTATTGATGAAACCCAATTACTATGACCCTCTAATTTTGACTATTATTATCCTGTCTGAACATCCCAGAAACAAATCGTGTTATCGTCGCTGCAGGATGCTAGTGTCGCACAATCAGGAGAAAAGCATATTGCACACACATAATTACTATGTCCATCTAATTTTGATTTTTGATCTCCTGTTTTAACATCCCATAAACGAATGGAGCAATCTGCACTTCCAGAGACTAAAATAGTTCCATCAAGAGAGAAGCTTACTGATTATACCTAATCACTATGACCTTCTAATCTGATTTTTTGTAACCCTGTCTAAATATCCCATAACCATATAGAGTTATCTCTGCTACCAGATGCTAACAAAGTACCATCAGGAGAGAAGCATACTGAATAAATAGCACTTTAATGCCCTTCTAATTTGGATTTTGTTCTCCTTTTTAACATCCCATATACGTATAGTAGCATCTGGACTACAAGAAGCTAATTTACTACTATCAGGAAAAAAGCATACTGAAGTGACTCCAATATTATGCCCTTCTAATTTAATTTTTTGTAAACCTGTTTTAGCATCCCATAAACAGATAGTCTTATCACCACTTCCAGATGCTAAAGTGTTACCATCAGGAGAGAAGCACACTGAATAAACCTCTTCATTATGACCGTTTAATTGATGTAACTCATTTATTTTTATATTACTCCATTTACAATTAATTAATAATGCTCTATTTAAATTCACCCCACTTATATCGATATTTTCAAATATTGATTCGCTTAAATTACATTTTACAAGATTAACTCCAACTAAAGAAGTATCTTAATCCTTATATTTTAAAAACATTGATTCGTCAAATCAGCCTTCATTTCCACTAGTAAATTTAAAGAATTCGATCTACATTATATGAATTTTTATCTATAGCAGTAAGGCGAACTAAAAATTTTAAAAATTCAAGTATGTTCTTTTCATTAGATATTTTTGTTATAAGTTGTTTTCTAGTCTCTATATGTTCATCTGTTGAATAATTCTTTTTATTGAAGTCATGTTCTTGAATATTTTTCGTACCATTGGCAAGTAACTTAATATTATTTATTAGAGTATTTTACTCCTAAGTGTTTTTAACAGGATAGACATTTTCAATTTAAAACATATATTAGTCTTATTCCTCTTGATTCTAATCTTTAGAAATAAAATCCAGAAAGTCTTAAGTTTTTTACTTTCTAAAATTTCTAATATGACTCTAAGACTTAATTCATTAATATCTTTTGATGATGCTAAAATGTCATATAAACTTTCCTTCTATTCATAGTTGCAGTCCAGATCTTTATTATTAAAATAATTTTTTATTTCTCCCATTTTTTCAGTTTTATATTAAGAATCAGAAAAGTATCTTAATTCTAAATGGTAAAAGAAAGACAAAAACTTAGTAAGACTTGGATTTGATGGTAATTGTAGTAAAATATTCTATTTAAAAATCAAAGAAACCTCAGTAAAGCAATTATTTTTTTAAATATGGAATAAAATAAGCTTATACTAGAAAACATACATCATTATTTCTGTGCAAGATAATAATTTTTTCAAAGTAAATTCTTACACTTGAGTATGTTTATTTTACACTCCAAAAAACCTCTTTATTTGCTCTTAGCTAAACTTCTGAATAAATAGAGTTAATTGGAAAAATTGGCGATCATATCTATTCAAATCTTTGAAACATTTATGTCAACTCTCCACCTTTCTGAGTCCGAATGAATTACTTCCTAAATGGAAATGTATAATTCCCTAATTAAAGATTACTAAAATAGGTTCGAAGTGATATATAATGTAGGAATTCCTAGGGTTTAATTGGAAATATTTAATCACATAAGTAAGTATGGTTTTGTAATATCGAAATTATTATTAAAAAGTCTTTATTTGTTAAAGCAATTTCATTCATACATACCTAATGTTGAATTATCAAAGATATGCCTAAACTTTGGTATTTATTTAAAAAAATGCATTTATTCATGCAAAATCATTAAAAAGGTCACTATTTAAAGATAATTTTTTCTGCTCACACTTCGAAAGGTTGTCCTATTTAGTGCCTAAGATAAGTGATTAATAACTGAACTTGAAGCAAAACCTAAACACTTCTTAGAGTTATTTCCCTTAATCAAAAATCAACATATCAATATTACTAATAATCATTTTTCTAATTGTAATTTTACGTTACTCCTTGTTAATAAACAGAAAATATCATAATGTAGATATTCTAATCAATTCAATATTGCATGCAGCTAGTTTAAATTAAATAGAAAATTAACCAATTTCAGAATGGCTTTAAATGAGTAATTTTATTTGCAATATGGTGACCTTAATAAATTAATGGCCAAATGAAGCTTAATGTACCTAATTAATAAAATTATTAATTTGAAGTAGTATAATTTTACTAATGAAGAAAAATTATGTTTAAGTTTTTGGTTAAAATGTATAAGGCCATAAACAAGAAAAAGTACCTTTCAAAATTTCTGAAAAATTTTCAAAAATAGGATCAAGTTTCTCATCTTTAAATTTCAAAATAATCTTAATTGTTGAAGTAATTTTTAGGAATAATTGATTTTGGAATACATAAAAACTAGCCAATAGAGTAGAGATTAGATAGTTTATAATGAGAGGGTGAAGTAATTTAAATATTCAATTTTTTTGTTGTTTCTTAAATACTTTTTGAGATATAGGAAGTATGGAAATTAAAGAAAAAATGAAATTTAGGAATTATCAATAATTTCAATTTTCATATTATTCCCTTTTTATCTTTATAAGTGTGAGAATTCTTGAATACAATATTCTTCTTATTCAGCAATTTACGAATTTAAAAAGTAATAGAAATGAGGATAATTATTATTTTTATTAATGAGTTTTTGCTTAGATCATTCAGACAATCCAATTATTTTCATTTGTACAGCGCAACACAAATGTTAAAGAAAACTTTGTAATGAATGTGTTATTGAGCATGGCGTCAGCACGAGATGGGCAGTCCCTATTAATACATTTTCAAAAAGTTTATAAAAGATATTATCAGCATACAAACAAAATGACAATTAGGACTAGTTAGCTTAAATTAGGATACTGTTTTAAACCCTTTACTCAGAAAACAAAAAAATAATGAAAGAAATGTGGGATGATTTTAAGAATTCCATGAACTCAATTTATAATAGAATTGAGGAGCAAGATTAGTGCTATGTTAAGCTACTAAACGAAGATATTAATTTGGAAAATTTATCGTAAGTAGAAATGGATAATCTTGTATCAATATAGCAAGGAGAACTATTAGATGACTGGAATCTTTAAAAAAGTGATTATATTAAGAAATTGAATAAAGCTAAGGAGTTGTTAGAAAAAGAAATGAAGTTTATTAGTAATAAATTAAAATTCGAAATAAAGGAGATTTAAAACATGTTTAAGTAAGTCTATTTGCCAATATCCTTATAGAATTGAAAAAAAGGAGTCATACTTATGGGAAGAAGGCACAAAAACATATACAGGAATATATTGGGTTTATGATGAGCCAACTTCATAAAGAAGTACAAAATTGCAAGTCAACTTTACATAGAACTAAGAAATGTAGTATTTCAGAGATGGATCTATGATAAGAACGTAAGAATCGTTAATATTTATTTAGAGATAAAATTCAAGATACTAAAAGGAAGCCAAAAATTTTAATTAATTTAGAATAAATCTAGTATCTTCAATGGCATGGAAAATATGGACATAATAATCAAAAAGTAGGAAAATGGATTGCAACATGGAAAGGTGAATAATTATAAGGTGTTGGTGGAGAGTACTCTGATGATGGCGAAAAATAAGGTTTATGGAGAGATATGATAAAAAATTATTGGAGGTAACCTAATCTATTTTTATTGTAAGTCAAGCTCAAATTTTGGAAGAAGGTGTGTATATTGGGGGTTTAAGGAATGGAATTTGGAAATATATTTATGAAAATAAAGAGATGTATTAATAATGCATTATTTAGCTGTAGTGGTGGTGGCGACTATAATAAATAAGGATTAAGAAATGGAAAATGGATTTAGTTAAGCGAGGGTTTTTGGAATTAGTCGTAAGTTAAGTACATTGGTAGATATAAAAATGGGGATAAGGTTGGTAGATGGGATATTTGTAAATTTGGTGGAATTTAAATGTAAAAAAAATTTCTAATAGTGGATGACAAAAAGTGGTGGTGGATTATATGATGAAATAGGAAATGGAATGAAATTGGGTCCATGGGTAGAAATTTCGGAAAATTATGCATGGGAATCATAAGTAATCTATTAAGGAGGGTATAAAAACGGTTAAAAAGTTGGTAGTTGGAAGATTTGGTATATTAAGGATGCAGAAAATAAATAAAAAGAAATAATGTAACTAAACTATTATTTAGTTTATCATTGAAAAATTAACTTATATTAGTGGTGGTGGATTATATGATGAAGAAGGAGATGGATTAAAGTTAGGTGATTGGGTAGAAATAGCAGATAATTTCTGCTCCAAGTCTCAAATTACCTACAAAGGAAGATATAGAAATTCTAAAAAGGCTGGTCGATGGGATATTTGGTATAAGGATATGAGAACACAAAACGATAAAAAAATGTAACAAATATATTATAGAGTTTTTAACAATAATAATTTTGAATATTATTATATTAGTGGTGGTGGATTATATGATGAAGAAAATGAAGGGATTAAATTTGGTTATTGGGAGGAAATATCAGATTATTTTGGATGGGAATCTAAAGTGACTTACAAGGGTGAATATAAAAATGGTAAAAAAGTTGGTAGATGGGATATTTGGTATAAGAAGGACTATGAGGATTAACAAAATGAAAAAATGTAAAAACTATTATTTAGTTTGAAAAATAATTATTTTAAAAAAAATTAGTGGAGGTGGATTATATGATGAAGAAAATTAAGGGTTTAAAATCGGTAATTGGACAGAAATACTAGATAATTTTAGTTGGGAATCTAAAGTTACTTACAATGGTGAATATAATCTAGGTGAAAAAGTTGGGAAATGGGATATTTGGTTTAAGTATAAAGGAAAAAATTAATAGATGTAAAAATATATTATTTAGTGTAATAATAATATTACGTTGGGAACAATTAGTGGTGGTGGATTCTATGATGAAGCAGGTAATGGATTTAAGTAGGGCAATTGGATCGAAATTTTCGATAATTTTTGGGATTACTCTCAAACAACATATAGTGGTAGATATCAAAATGGTAAAAAAGTGGGTAGATGGGATATTTGGTTGAATTACGCAAGTAAGAAAGAAAAGATGTAATATATTATATTTTATTTATCAAAATATTAAATTACCTAAAAACATTTAGAGGTGGAGGAAATTATGATGAATAAGGTTATGGAGTTAAATTGGGTAATTGGGAGGAAATATCGAATAATTCGAACTTTTCCTCTTTATTAGTATTCAAAGGTGATTATACAAATGGTTAAAAAGTTGGTGTTTGGGTGGAAATGTAGAGAGATTTAAATAACATGATAGAAGAATTCAAAAAAGTCAAAGAAATTAAATATAATAATTGATAAAATTAAAAATAAAACAATAATAATAATAAACAAAATTTTCATTACTAACTTATTAGATAATAATTATTTTCGTATTGATTAAATCCAAATTATAGCTGAAAAAGTAAACTATGAATTGATTCTTGTTGAATAGAATCATCTTAAAATTGAAAAGTATATATGATCCTGAAAAATTATTTATTATTTTTAGAATAGCCATCAAATATTTTAAATTGAAATATAAGGTGAGAGAATACAAATTATGAAAATTTTTAGGATTTGTATTAAGTATTTAATAAAATTTAATTTTGAAGGATCTGAATTTGATCTTGTGGGTTACAGCAGGAATACTTCATTATTAGAGCTTAAATAGAACTCTTTTGTCAAGCTAATCACTTTATCTCTATCAAAAAATTTTAAAAATACTTCATTATTTTCGTCCAACGTATGAAGAACATTTGTTAGCTATTTTTTGTCTAGTAGTTTTCATTGGCCATACCTAAAAGCAATATTTCTCTAACTCTGAAAATAATATTATTGTAGGAACTTTTATTTAAGAATTACCCTATTTAAATCTATCTAGTTTCAATTCGATTATATTTTGTCAATGTTATATTTGGCTAATAGTCACAGGAAATTGCTGAAGACTTTAGCAGATGTATACATTAGTTTTTCATGATGCAGATGCATACATTAGTTTTTCATGATGAAGGGCTTTCTATATGGACTCCACAGATTCGACTATCGAATTGGCCTCCAGCAAAGAGATTGTATTCAAAAAAAATAATATAACAATCTAATTTTTAAATCATTATCATTTGAAACGAACTCGGCTCTATTGATGAAAAGTAATCATACTTATCATGTGTGTGATTGAATAATTGCATTATTTTTGTTTCAACCCAAAACATTAAATTCATTAATTCAATAAAAATATGAATTTTATTTTAAACATGCTGTAGTGTCATTTTATTTCGAATGCATTTTTTAACTTATTCTGGCAGTTTAAATTCAATAAATAAAAATTAAACGTGAAACGTGAAAAAATTTTCAATTCTACTAAAATAATCAATTAATATAGAATGATAAATTTTGATATATTTTTCAAATTGATTAAGTGGAGCAATAAAAATATAATGAGGAACCCCCAAATTCAGTCAAATTAGTTTTATTAAAGAAAAAAAATAACACAAATTAAGTATACAACTGCGCCATGAAGCTTGCACTTTAACATGTTTATTCTTTAGACCAATAGAAATTTTTAGGCATTACATTCTGTTTTAATAGCATGAAATTTATTAAGGTCTGAATTACGAAATGCTTGCTCTGAAAACAATAAAGGCACCCAGATCAGAAAGAGAAAGAATGTGAGGGTTTCTAAAATAAACAAATGAATTATGATTTAGCAATGAGGGTGAGAAAATCAGTTGAATCTTTCAAAAATAGAATAATTTTACTTTGCGTGTTATCGGAGCTCATAGCCTAATTATCTTAACTTGACTAAATTCTTATTTTAATATGAGTTAAGAAATTGTTTTCAATTTAAACAAAAGCGATATTCTGGATTAAAGAAATTCATCAAAGTTGGGATTAGAAAAGAATTAGAATCTTCAGAAAATATTTATCAGGCATTTTAACTTAGTTTAGGATCAATCAAATTGCTGTGAGTATAAGTATGCAGTGCTTCTTACTTACTTACGCGTAATAAAACAAGGGATGAAAGAATTTAGACATGAATTTTATACAATTATTTTTCAATAAAATATTTCAGCTTCTCAAAATAGAATTTGAATTTTGTTAATTTAGCCAAGGTTAGCAATTAAAATCTTATCAGAAAGCCTCAATTTATCATTAGCCAACTGATTATATTATAATATTAGGAGCTATTGGAACAAACAACGTTTTTACAATCAAGCGTTTTTAGAGTATGTTAATGGCTAGGTTTATTGCTATCATTTAATTAATTAATAAGACTGTTAAAGCAGCATTCTGAAGAAAGAATTCAAAAATATCCGGTATGAATCTGCATTTTCACTTCTATTCCATTACTAATGGTTAATTAAACGATTAATTATGGTCAGTGCTACCTTCTTTGCATTTGATAAAATTGCTTTTTGATTTAGATTAGGATGAAGTTAATATAAATTCGGCTTAATATTGTTTCATTCTCTAAAAGGCTGATGAATTGTTTAAAATAAACTGTTTTATTAAATCAGACCCGTAAGAGTTACAAAAAGTCTTTTCGACATGATAAGGCTAGAAAAAAGATATAATCTTCTAATTAAAATTGAAAACAATCATTGTTAATTACTAAAAAAATTAAAGTTCAAGAATTTAATTTTTGAAATAGAATATACAATCAAAGGATGAGCTCGCTCATCATAAAAATCAATAAAATATGTGTTTGTAATTGGAATAGATTAATTGGCGAGGTATGAAGATGATTTTGAATTCCAATATGAAATCATACAACCATATATTAGGTTATATTCAAACTAAAATAGGGATGCTTATGGAAAATTGTTTGCATGAAATAAGTTTATGAAATTGAATTTCTATCAATATGCATAGTTGATTTGATAAAGATATAATGATTTCAGGCTTCAGTTAATGAAAACTACACTTAATAATTAGGTAACTATTACAGCTTACACTACTGTTAATTATACGCTCAAATGTAAAATTAAAAGCAACAGTGTAGCCTTACAACGTTCTTATAATTAACCTTGACTCAAGATTATAACATAGAATAAAGTAGGTATCTTGAACTTACTGGAAATGACTATTCAAGATCCCCATGTCCATAGAAATTCTCCAACCTTATAGTGCATTCAAGAAATCTTGAGCTATTTAAGAGGGAAGGGCCAAAATTGTGCACAGAGATATTATAAGATGAATAATTGGAATAGATATTTCTATCACTATGATCACTCATTTAAAACTTTACAATAGCTTTGAATGAAAAATAACTCTAGAATCTAAAGTAAAATAATAAAGTTTTAGAACAAATAGCTTGTAGAATCTAACAACTAATTCAATTCATTAATCAGAATGTCAATCATTAAATCCTAGACTATAGCACGAGGTATCTTTTGTCCATGAATTGGTACCATATAAAAAAAACATCAACAAAATTCTCATTTTGGATGTGAATTAGGTCTAAAGCTAGTTTCTGAAGTTATTAAAGCTCATTAAGACGATTTAGTCTTGATGTATTTCTAGAATACCTATAATATTTAAGGAGGGCTAAAGTGTTCCATATTTGGGAAAAAACAAAACTACCCAAAAATATTCGCACAAAAATGGAGATTTTAAAGGAACATCTTTTAAAAAGGTAACTATAAGAAATAAATCAAAAATTTGGAAAAAACTTTCCAAAACCCTTTTTCATGTTGGAGTTATCCTAGCATCCCCCACGTGACACTGTTTATTTCTGAGACTGTAATATGAGCAGGGGATTAAAAGTTGGTAAATTGAGGAGGCGATCACCTAAAGGATTGCTCTCACATTGCCTCACTCAAAGTTAATGTAAGGTTAAACCCATCTATCATACCTTTGAAAATATGGTGGACTGAGAAAAAAAAAATGATGTGGTATACCATACTTTAAGAAAACATATTATTAAAATAAGAAATTATTAACAGCATGTTAAATTATTATAAGGAGCTTAAATGAATACATTTTGATTAATTTCTTAACCAAAATTATTAGCTCTAAATATTCAATTCAAAATAAAAATGCCACAATTTTCGAGTTTTGTATATTGAATTCATTTTATTTTCTTTAAAGCTCTAATTTGAGAATCCTTAAATTTAAAATTTACCTAAAATCTGATATGGAAAAACTGTGATATTGATTTTCATACATTTGATATATATATTTATTAGACAGAAAGAATCACAATTAAATAGTTAATAATCTAAAATTTTCTATATTAATCAACAATGAGAGGCTATGAGATTTTTAAGGCAGAGATTTTTGTCAAGAAGTTACATACCTTTAATATGTAAATTAACAGAATTATATGAGTTTAAATTAATATCTTCTGATATCAGAAAATTCAAAAAAGCCAAAAAGTTATTTCATAATGGAATGACTTATGATACCCTTTGATTATTATCGATCCTTATTTGATAATTTTGGGACTTCAATAAGTATTAAATTATAAGTAATTATTCTTTTAACATAAAAAGAGAATACAACTTTCTTCCTATATCTCTTTACTAATTTTGCCCTATGATAAGTGTTTCAATTATCATTTTGGCCCCTATAATTTATATCAGTTTCATAAAGTAAAAACAATAATGTACTTCTTGCTATTACTTCGCCTTGCCAGTAACAGATGAGAAATTTCTATGTTTTAATATTATTATCAAATATAAACTGAAAAATATAATTAAATAATTTAGAAATTCTTATTTTTCTTTATTTTGATAAAATACTATCATTGATTTAATAAATGCTTCATGTAAAGGAGAGGAATTTGGCAATCTGCAAGTTAAACGAATTTATTCAACAAAGCCTTAAGTAGTTCTTGAGAAATAAGAAATGCATCTCATTACATTCCCACATTATTATTGTGCTGCATAAAATTACTTTAGAGCCAATCTTTATTCATACATAAGTCAACTTAGAACATTTGTTTATGTATTCACTAAAGATTAGCATTATAAACATTCCCAATTTACAACTCTACTTATATAATAAAATAATATTCTTTCCATTCTCAAGAAGAAGAATTAATATGAAACAATTACTTTCCTTGTTCATATGAAACTTCCTACAAATTATTTATTAAGCAGAATTCTAATAATAGACTTTATGCCTTCTGAATATCAAACTTCTAGATATTAAAAGAGAGAAAAAAAATAATATTAATTATTAATATTTTCATGATTGGATTTAAGAAGAATGCTTTCTTATTGACGCCACCTCTCATTCATTACTAGATATACAGTTGGAGTTCGCTCAGGATCAACGATCTATGCTCCTTCTATTCACCCTTTGTTGTTCTGAACGGTTATAGTTAAGTGCTTAAATCAAATTTAACCATTACTTTCAACAACCCTAATGAATCATCAGTGAAAAATTAATTGAATATTAATATTACAAATGAGAAATATTTCAGATTACATAAACCATATACTAAGCTATAGCATTTTTGGGACAATCAAATTATTCGCTTATTAGGTAGGGCGACAGATTAAAAGATTTGCGCATAGTGGAAGTATACAACCCTCATTTTTTAACTCTATATTTGAAGGCATTCAAATTCCCTTTGTTAAACATCCGACCTCAAATTGAATTAAACTCTATGGAAATCCGATTTTGGAATTACTTTCGATCCTTGGTAATCTAAGTTGAAATTTGTTTATATAATGTCAGTAATTATTCAAAGTAAACCTTTTAAATTGTTTGCTATTTCAAATTCATAAATACTTTATTGGGTTATATTTTTAATTATTTTAAGAATTCATTTTACTAAGGCGATTTGAAAAGACTCTAAATATTCAAATCGTCATTATCCTTACTTCTCTAATTCTAATCTAAAATAGGAAAACCTTTTTTTTAAAACTATCGTAAAATTAAGATATTTCCATCTTTTAATTTCAAAATACTGAGGAATTTCATCCACGACCTTTCAATATTTTGCCTTAGAAAGATGAAGTAACAATACGATAAAATCACTCTTGCTTATGATAGTTTCAGCCATCTTCATAGAAATCATAAATTTATAGCTACCATTATTTATCTTCTTATGGTCCTCTACATTATTTCAAAGCAATATCAAGTGTTCTTATTAGTCTCGATAATTTAAGAATAGAAAGGTAAGCTAGCGATATTTTATTAAAGGGGAAATGTATTTTGTATATATCATTTTTATTAAGACAAATTACTTTAAAAGATGAATTATTTATGATTAAAAAGGGAGAAATCTTCTCCCTATGATATTAGATCTTATGGGAATATTTTATAAATTTGAGAATCTGGAATATTAATAGTGCGATAGACATTTTGCTTATTCGAACTTTAATTAAACTATTTATAAGATATATTCATTCAGCAATAAGTTAAATACTTAACAAAGAATAATTTTAAAGAATAATTTTGATTTTTGTATCAGATCAATGATTATCATGTTCAAATTTAAACAAGCATTTTTCATTATTTCCAAATTGTAATTTATGTTCTTTAGATGAACAAGTCTATGCTAATTTGATAAGAAATCTTTCTAATTTGATATGCAATGGTTAGTGTTGACGTTATTCTTCACTCTCCTCTATATTTGGAGCAGCAGGCAATGAAACCTTATCCGCCATTCTTGCTAAAGCTTCCATGAATTCTTAGAAATTCATTTAGAAGATCCTATCACTTTCTATTTCATCTATTTATGAAGGAATTGATAAATTGAATGCCTATTATGTCTAATTTTCTTACCAAATTTTGTTCAAATTAATCGTAGATTGTTGCCGTTTTTGCCCAAATTTTTCCCAAATTTTCTAAGTTTATATATTTCTTTTATCCTGATTTGACCTTTTTTATGCAGTATTTTTAATACACGCTATATAACATAGGTTTGTAAAATTTTAAACAATCATCACATTATTTATTAAAGTACTTTTCATCTCTCCACTTTTATGCATCGAATTTTTACATGATAGGTCTACATTGATCTAAAAGCATTTATACAGATTCAGCTATATTATTCGCTAATTTATGTTCTAAATATTTATCAATTGAGACTCTCACTAAGAATTCCATAAATTAATATCTACACAATGCTCTTTCAGGGTTTCTATGATTTCTTTTAGTTTCAATTGAAGCAGCACAAGTTGCAATAAATTTAAGATCCAAATCTGAAAGTTTAAATTTGTTATCAAACAATCCTGTTTCAAATGCGAAATCCGCAATTACATTATTAGAAATTGACCAAACTTCTCCTGATGGTGATTTAGAAGAATACCATTTAAATGTTTCTTTGATCATTTTATAATCCTTCCATATTACATTTTTGACTTCTTAAAGTTCATCCTAATTTGTTACAAAATTTGATATTTTGCTATGGCTCCAATCATTCTCAAAGCATTTCCATAAGAAATCTTCATTTTCAAACTGAAAATCCTTAAACCAAATTGAAGCTGAAAATGACCAAATTCCTTATTATTACTCTAATACAGGAGGCTCTTAAATGATATCTAAAATTTTAGAAAACTCTGAAGTAAATTCCTTCATTTTTTGTTTATTCATTTCATTAAAATTTTTCAATCTCCTTAAAATATCATCTTAATTAAAACCTTCATTCAACTCAACCCATTTTCCATCCTCCTGAGCATATGATCCTCCCCAACTAATAATTTTCAAAAAATATTACATTAACTCATAAGGAGAATTAAGATTTTTTTTCCAAAAGTACTTCCATCTTCCAATCCTTTGACCATTATCATATTAACCTTTGAAAAATACTTCACATTACTAACTAAAATATAAATATTATTAATTACTTTCTTATGCATTCAACCCATAATCCAAATTATTTCCCAAAAAATTCCTCCATAGAAGATTGTGCCTTTAATAATACAAGTTTTTCACAGTTATTCTACTTTTATGGATCATTCCTAAATAAAAATTCTGTATTTACTCAAACCATTTTCCTTCTTAATATTTATTTGACCATTAGAAATAAACATGCACTTTTTAAGACTCTTTTAATTATTGAGGTTTTGAAATTTCTCCATTCAATTTCCTTCCAAATGTATAACCCGTGTATTTATCTAAATACTTTTACAAATCGTAACTTCCTGGTCCAGGATTATAATATATAGAATTAGAGTCTCTCCTACCTGATAAAAACCTTATTAAATGAATTATATTCGAACCTTATAGCTTTATTATGCTTTATTAAATTATTATCAATGTCATAGTATTCTGAAAGGTGATCTTTTTTGATGACCATATATTTCTTTTCCTTTCCAAATCTTAAAATATATTTAATAGTTACGAATAACGTGGAGTTTATCCTTATTATTTAGGATAATTATATGCTCCTGGCCCAGGGATTTTAAAATAGTCAAGCTCTTCAAATAATTATTTTGAAGTTTGTTACATTTAGATATAAATAATATTATTATTTGAAATTATCATAACTATCAATTTTTTTGAGAATGAAATTAAATACTAGTTTATTAAAAAAAAATTTAATCTTTTAAAATCATCAACTATTCTTAAATCGAATTAACACAAATGAAAATTAAGGCACAAGAATATTATATAAAGTTTGCACTTGATAAATTACAAATATTAAATAAATTATTTAATTAGTTCACTCTAATAAATTTAATTTATAAAATATTATTATGATGATGATGGAACTGTTATATCTCAATCAATCCCTTAAACAATGGCATCTTGATAATGGCATTAACTAAAAAAGATCTAAATTTAGAGGTGTTCCTTTGGGCTTATTAAATTATACTCCTATCTAGAAATTATCATACTTAATTGATCTAGATAATATTTAATTTAATTTTTATTTTAGAATTTATTTTCTTTAATAAGATTCATCTTCTTGATTAATTATGATCTAATTCAAATGTATAATCAATCAAACTACTATTTTTATTAATTACATCTTTAAATTGTTAAATGTAATTTAGAAATAATTATATTATTTAATCATTTAAGTGTTGCATCCTAATCCTAATGAATACTCTATTCTATTTTACCATTTCCTAATTAAAATCTTAAATTTCTGAAAAAGATTCCTTAATAATTCAGAAGGCCACGAGTTTTGCATAAAAAATGAAATGTTTAATCTTTTTGTATAAACAAGCATTTTTCCATTTGAAACAATTAACAGAAAAAGAAATCAATGCAAATGAAATTTGGATATACTTTTGCTAATCTAATTGTGGTTTTTCAGTATTAACATAGATTTCTCATTATAAAAAATAATTAATCTACTGAAAATTTTATTCTAGGGAGCATTCTTTGATTTTCCCAATTCTTTGTTTTATAGTAATTGGATTAATTTAATTCTGAATATTTTTAAGTTAAAGGAAATAACAGTATTTTTGAGTACTATTTGTAACATAAAATAAAAATTTTGGGTTTGGTATTTTTTTAATAGTTTTTTGGCTGTTTTTACTTTTCAGATTATACAATACTTAAAATAAATATGACTATCAATTTATAATAATTAATGTTTTATAGAAATTTTTCAGCTTAAAATTAATAATAAGAAAATTTATCATTTTACTTTCTAACAGATTTTCTTTATTGAATAATACTAAGGACTAGAAATGGTTAATTTTCTCCTTGTATAAAGGACACTTTTAATGATATTTCTTTAATAGATGGTCTTTCAACTATCAGACCTGAGAAATTTATTTACACAATAATTAATAATTCTTTAGTCTGAAAGTAAATTTGAATGAGCTTGAATTGTTGTAAATTTGCTAAATATTTAATAAGATTAACTTATTCTTATTTAGGTATCTAAAATATATGCTAATGAATTTTACGAAGCTCTATTTTTTTGCCTTCGCTATTCTCTTTTAAATTACCTGCAATTAAGATTTAAACAAACAATTAAATGAGTTCTCCAAAATGTCAAGAGAAAACTCAATAATATCTAAATTATTTTATAGGTCAAGCTTGATTGGTAGGCTAAAAGGATTGCCTAATTATTAGACTTTTTATTTTGAAAATATTTATAAACCACAATAAAATTTTATGATTTATCATTTTTAAACTTGTGCACAATTGATAATACTTTTTTATCATGCTGTGGCCAACTGGAAACTTATTGATAAAAGCATTACAGGATAGACTATATATTAGAATAATTGGAAGATTTTATCTGAATGCTAAGAAACAAATGAAACATCACTTTCTTCCTTTACTTATAGTGGGCCTGTAATTTTAAACAAGTCTATAAAACATTTGTCTAAAAAATTTTTGTATAAGTGTTTTCAAGTTCAAATTATTTTTGATGTTTATTTTGAAGATGCTGATAGTTTTTTGCAATCATAATTTAAAGTTACTTAAGAAACATTTGACAACTTTTATACCGCTTAAGTTTCTGAGTAGTAATTATATCAACTAGATGCCACATAATCTGATTTAATTCAAAGCAGTGCTCTAATTTGCCAAAATGGAGTAAACAAATTTCAATTCTAAACAGTTGTAAGTACAATCGCTTATTAGAAAACTGATGAATTTTTCATAAAACTTTGTTTTCACCCTGGAAATGATAATATACAGTTAACGATTAAAAATTTATTGATATATGTAAATGCATGCCATCCAACCTGTTTAACATGTGATGGCCCAGCAGAAACATCATGTTTATCATGTTTTAACAATTAAAGTGTATCTGAAGGGAAATGCACTTGTATTCCAGAAAAACAATTTTCTCAAACTCTTATTGGCTGTCGTTAAGAATGTGATAGAGATAATTCAATTGCACGCTCTGATAAAACGTGCGTTGAAGACTATAGAATACAATAAAATGCTACTTTATTTGATGGTCCAATCAATCCTGATTCAAATCCTCGATACCAACCTCTTATCTTTGAGAAAGATGAATTTAATTATAAAAACTGTGATTTAGTTGATGAAGATTTCTACCATAAAGATTTTATTGGGAAGCTGCAATATAATGAAGGAATGCTTTATCAAATGAATTTAGAAAATGCTGTAAAGTTTATAAGAATTCGGATTACATTTTATTTGTTTAACTTTAACGAAACAAGTAGCATCTTCATATTATAAAACAATCAAATATAAGCTCTAATAACCAAAGGTCCAATTAGTTTCTAAGTTTAAAATTAATTGAAAATATTTGAACAGAATTATATTTAAAATAGTAGTTATACTTTATTAAGAGTAGAGATGATTTTGCAATTATTTAATTCTAATCCAAATATTTTAATTAAAGGTTAACTTTCATCATAAAATGAATCTTGGGGGTTTAGATAATTTACAGTAGATAAAGGATTTTGTTAAGTAAATTGCAAAATTTGTGCTGACTTCTCTTCATGCCAATCGTGTTAACCATATTACAAATTATATCGAAATTCATGTGTTTATACTTGCCCCATTCATTCATCAAATTGCATTGATTATGAAGATATCTTACCATGTAAATTATTATTGGATTATATTTAGATTCGAGATACTTAGCCAAAGGCTTTTATGATTTAAATATGACTTTGTAAGAGATTAAAGCATTTTATGATATTACAACTGATCCATAATTTAGCCATTCTTCAGAATAGAAATTTTCTTTTTTTAATAATAAAATAGTGTTGGGAGGTTTTTTAGTCTGGAATGATGGATCGTATATCAAAACATGGATGATTTCAAAACCACATTATGCAGCCACCATATATTTTAATTTAACATATGGAGATGGTTACACTGGAGACTTTTTTTATATTATAGGAAATGATTCAACCAGTCTAAAATAGGGACCTTTTAGAAATCCTGGGGGAGGATAAAATTTAGTTGGTTGTACAGAGTTAGAAAGCATTTAATACTTTAATATAAGTTTAACAAACTTTTATTCTAACAGACTTTATGTCGAATTTGTTTGTGATGTTGCAACTGCTGATATAAAAAAGGAATTTTGTGCAATATCAGAATATTTCATCGTTATTCATTATGTATATTATTAGTATTATGTTGAGTGTCCTCCTTTTTGCTCCAACTGTGCAAGTTTTGATGCATGTTTAGAAGCAGTGACTACTAATTGCGGATTGAACTAATATTTAGTGTTTGATTCATAGACAGAAACTTATATGTGCAAAGATTGTAATTAACCTGGATGCAGTACATGTACAAGAGCAGAGGAATGCACTTAATGCGTTAGTAATTAATTTAATTTGAGCAATGGAATTTGCTTATGCAATCCATTTACATTTTTTTAAGGAAATGCTTGCTTTTAATGCAATAAATATTGTGAATATTGCTTTGGTGACTCTTAATATAATTGTCTTACTTGTGTGAGAGATTATCATAGAGGTATATAAAGAAAGCAATGTTTATGCTTACCTGGGTATTATGATGACGGAATCAATTTACCATGTCTTCCTTTATGTGGAGATGAGATAGTGGTTGAAGAAGAAGATTGTGATGATGGTAATAATAACCCATTTGATGGTTGCAATAATTGTAAATTTGCTTGTAATTTTGCGTGTGATATTTGTATAAATGGAAAATGTTATTAATGTAAAAATGGATACGAAGTTCATAACAATGACTGTCACTCTAAATGTTTAGGAAATACAATTGGATTACTCTAATAATGTTTTGAAGAAAAAAGCAACTGTGTTAATTGTTAGTTTTAATGCTCTATACAATGCACAGTTTGTGATTTTGGTATTTGTTAGTAATGCAATGAACCAAATGGTTGGTACTTGTCAACAGATGGGACTTGCCATAGTATTTGCGGTGACAATATTTTAGTACTGGAAGAAGAATAATGTGATGATGATTAGAATATTCTTTGCAATTAATGTTAAATTACATGCGATATAAATTGTTTAGAATGTATTAAGGGAGTTTGTATTATTTGTGCCTAAGGATATAAATGGAATTAATAATTAAAGAAATGTGTTTAAGTTTGTGGAGACGGAGTATTAATCAAAAAGGAGAATATCTGTGAAGATAGAAATAACCTATTAGATGATGGATGCTATTTATGTTAATTAAGTTGTTAAAAATCTTGTACTTTATGTACTGAAAATGGTTGTTTATAATGTGATACCATAGGATGGAAATTGGAGGAAATATAAAACAAATGTGAACCTGTATGTGGTGATGGAATTATTGTGTAAAATGAGGAGGAATGTGATGACTTAATTGATCAAAATTGCTTTTAATGTAGATACAATTGTTAAGAGTCTTGCTTCATTTGCCAAAAAATGGTAATTGTCTACAATGTAAAGAAGGATGGATTGTAAATTTGGATAAGAAGTGTTATTCCTTCTTTGGAGATTCTAAAGTTGTGGGTGAAGAATAATGTGATGACTATAATTCTGTAATGTATGATGGTTGTTATCTTTCAAAATATTAATGCTAATAATCATGTTTGAAGTGCGAATTTGGAGTTTGTATTGATTGTGAGCACGGATATTATAATCTAGAGGGAAAATGCCTAGAAATCTTGAATGATGGACATACAAAAGGGAATGAACAATGTGATGATATGAATTTAATAGCACAAGATGGTTGTTTTAATGGTATGTATGATTGTCCTAGACATTGTAAGCATTGTTATCAAGGATAGTGTTTACGGTGTAATCTATAATCTCATTAGCTTAATACTCTAAATAATTAATGTATATCATAGTGTGGAGATGGTTATTTATAGGATTATGAAGAGTGCGATGATGGAAATATTATTCCATAGGATGGATGTCATTTATGTGTATTTTAATGTAATTAAAATTGTCAAATCTGTTAATTTGGAGTATGTTTTGAATGTTCAATAGGTTATTACTTAGATAAATCCAAAAATAGCTGTTATAGTATATGTGGAGATGGAATTCAAGTACATGAGGAATAATGCGAGAATGGTGATTTAGGTTCTAATAAACTATGTTTGAGTTGTAACTTAGGCTGTAATGAATAATGTACTACGTGCGTTGATGGATTATGTTTTGAATGCACATTAGTAGGATGGAATTTAGATCTATTAAACATGAATTGTTAACCTACTTGTGGAGACCAATTGGTTCTAGGGAATGAATAATGTGATGATGGAAATGATAATGATGACGATGGATGCATTGACTGCTATATTCAATGTTAAGACCAATGCACATTATGTCAAAAGGGTTTTTGTAAAGAATGTAATGTTAAAGGATGGTAACTTTTTGATGCAACATGTAGATCAATATGTGGAGACAAATTAGTCGTAGGGTTAGAGGAATGTGATGATGGTAATTAGCTTCCATATGATGGTTGCTATGAATGCAAATTTTAATGTTCAGAATAATGTACTGAATGTTTGAATGGTGTTTGTAAATCCTGTTTTAGTCCAGGGTGGGTTCTTGATCAATAAAAGCGTTGCACTACTTTATGTGGAGATGGAATCGTTGTTGACCCTTTTGAATAGTGTGACGATGGAAATGATAATCCAAATGATGGCTGTTATTTGTGTGAATATTAGTGTTCAAAAGGTTGTATTGAATGCCAGCAATAGTAATGTAACAAATGTGATAATTCATATATATTGGATCTTAAAACAGGTAATTGTGTTAAGGAAAACTCTAATGACTATAATGATTTAGATATTGAGATGTAACAGATAATTTAATAGACAAATTTCAGATGTGGAGAAAATCATATCTTAATTGATCATGCATGTGTTACCTAATGTGGTAATGGGATATTTATGAATCAATATGAAGAATGTGATGATGGAAATAATTAAGGAGGAGATGGATGCTCTACTAATTGTCATATTGAAGATTCCTATCAGTGTATAAATTAATAAGGATCATTAAGTTTATGCGCATATATTGTAGCACCTAAATTTAATTTAAATATTCTCTCTAATGATGTTCAATAAACGTAAACAGTTGAGTTGACTTTCACTTAAGAAGTAAAATTGGAGGAAGGTCTAAATTTTCAAGAAGTCATTGTGTTTACTATCATTCCATAAACTCGATATCAATTAACTGTCAATAGTATATCAAACTTAACAAATACCCTAAATAATCCTAAATATTAAATTTGGATTGAATTTAGTGAACCTGTATAAAATCCGAATTTACAAGTTGACTTACAGAAAAATGCTATATTCAATAGAGATTAGATAGGCCTACTTGAAAATTAACAATCTGTTAATTTTGGCACTCCAATTGTCCTCCTAGAATCAACTAAGTAATAATTAATATCTATTGTTTAACTAAATAATGCAATGATGTATTCAATGGTCGGAATCTCGAGTTTGGCATTTCTAACAGGAAATGCAATAATGTGTTTTAATTTATTAGATTTATTGTAGTCGTTATCTTATGTGAAATACATACAATATTAATTTCCACCCCATTTTAATGATTTTTTAAACACTTACACTAAAGTCTCATTACAACCTATTTTAGAGATATTTTAAATAGATTAATTATTTGCAATAAGCGCATCAAATCAAGTAAACAAAAATTTACAACGAGACCCTAAATACATCTTACAATAGCCTTATTTATATAATGTTAAAAGTTGTTATTTTTCTGTATTACTATCCATACTTACTTACTTAATATATTCATTAATAACATCTGAAAACTTTTAACACAAAATTTTTTAACTCTACTTAAAATATTAAGATAACAATAAAATCGTTAAATTAATAAGAATATTTTAATAGAAAGTTGTGAAAAAGTGCATAAAGTTAAAACTAGACTATTTTTCTTTAGGAATATTTAAAGTTTACTTAGCCATGCTTCATTAATTTATGTTCAGTGTAATGTTATAATTTCCAAATTACAAATTTGGCTCTCCTTTTGAATTTTTAAATAGTATTAATGCTATTTTTGGATTGGTGTTGATTCTAATATCTACATTAAATTTGCTTTCAATTACTACAGCTACAATAAAAAATATACGGAAATGGAAGCATTTTTTCTCAGAAACTAAAACTCATTATTGGGCCCTTCAATTTAAGACCTTTTAAATTTACAGAATTTAATTTTACATCTTAATTATTGTGAAATTAATACACTACCCAGAAGTCTAATCAATCCTACTTTCTGTCCAATCATTATTGTACTTGATTTACTTGGTCAGATTTAAACCTTTGATATCTATGTTTGAACTTTCTAAGTTAATAATTAGAGAGTTTCTCTTAATGATTATTTCAGGGACATTCTTAATATATAGTTTTGAAATGAGTTAAGATAATTTTATCCTACTTGGATGGATTCATATTGGTATGTTTTGCAGTATTTTAGCTTCAAATTTATTTATTGACTTATTTACATAAATTAAAAAAGCATATGATAATTATGTATAATAGAAATTAAAATATAGAAATGAAGAGGAGAAAAAATAATATTTGAAAGGATTTGAAATTAATTAAATTGAATTCATGTAAAGATAATGATTGTTTAATGTTGCAAAGGTGAATTGATATTATTTAAATCAATTGATTAAATGCAAATAAATTAATTATTTGAAAAGCAATATATTTATAATCGAAAACTTTTACAATTATCAATTATTTTTGTTTTTAATTAATTGTCTCTTTTTTTTGGATTTAATTAATTTAATTCTTAATTAATCTTGAAATGGTTGAAGGTAAAATTCTATTAAAAAATTGAGAGAATTTAAAAATAAATAAATGCTAAATATAATTGTTTATTATTGCTAAAATTGTCATAAAGAATTTAATGTTAAATAGAGGACTCAATTTTTTAGAGAAGTAATTGTAAAAGTATATAAATCAAGTANTCATTACAACCTATTTTAGAGATATTTTAAATAGATTAATTATTTGCAATAAGCGCATCAAATCAAGTAAACAAAAATTTACAACGAGACCCTAAATACATCTTACAATAGCCTTATTTATATAATGTTAAAAGTTGTTATTTTTCTGTATTACTATCCATACTTACTTACTTAATATATTCATTAATAACATCTGAAAACTTTTAACACAAAATTTTTTAACTCTACTTAAAATATTAAGATAACAATAAAATCGTTAAATTAATAAGAATATTTTAATAGAAAGTTGTGAAAAAGTGCATAAAGTTAAAACTAGACTATTTTTCTTTAGGAATATTTAAAGTTTACTTAGCCATGCTTCATTAATTTATGTTCAGTGTAATGTTATAATTTCCAAATTACAAATTTGGCTCTCCTTTTGAATTTTTAAATAGTATTAATGCTATTTTTGGATTGGTGTTGATTCTAATATCTACATTAAATTTGCTTTCAATTACTACAGCTACAATAAAAAATATACGGAAATGGAAGCATTTTTTCTCAGAAACTAAAACTCATTATTGGGCCCTTCAATTTAAGACCTTTTAAATTTACAGAATTTAATTTTACATCTTAATTATTGTGAAATTAATACACTACCCAGAAGTCTAATCAATCCTACTTTCTGTCCAATCATTATTGTACTTGATTTACTTGGTCAGATTTAAACCTTTGATATCTATGTTTGAACTTTCTAAGTTAATAATTAGAGAGTTTCTCTTAATGATTATTTCAGGGACATTCTTAATATATAGTTTTGAAATGAGTTAAGATAATTTTATCCTACTTGGATGGATTCATATTGGTATGTTTTGCAGTATTTTAGCTTCAAATTTATTTATTGACTTATTTACATAAATTAAAAAAGCATATGATAATTATGTATAATAGAAATTAAAATATAGAAATGAAGAGGAGAAAAAATAATATTTGAAAGGATTTGAAATTAATTAAATTGAATTCATGTAAAGATAATGATTGTTTAATGTTGCAAAGGTGAATTGATATTATTTAAATCAATTGATTAAATGCAAATAAATTAATTATTTGAAAAGCAATATATTTATAATCGAAAACTTTTACAATTATCAATTATTTTTGTTTTTAATTAATTGTCTCTTTTTTTTGGATTTAATTAATTTAATTCTTAATTAATCTTGAAATGGTTGAAGGTAAAATTCTATTAAAAAATTGAGAGAATTTAAAAATAAATAAATGCTAAATATAATTGTTTATTATTGCTAAAATTGTCATAAAGAATTTAATGTTAAATAGAGGACTCAATTTTTTAGAGAAGTAATTGTAAAAGTATATAAATCAAGTATGGGGACATAAAAAACCTCACCTTTACACTCCAATTTGACATAAATGATAATTTTCATAAACTAATTTGCAATTACAACCAGAATGTAAAGTATGACCCATACTATGCAGATATCCTCCCTTACCATCAATTATGTAAGGCTGAAGCACAGTGCTTATACCATATTTAAAATCCATCCCTTTCTTTAACGATTTCAGAGCCTTGGAATACATCATCGAGAAATAGTTTATAAATTAGACAAACTTATTCTACCCCAGCGTGAGCATAAGCTATCAAAAAAGTCATTCGATTGAAAGTCATCAAACTTAACCTTACTTAAAAGTTGTGGCTTCGATTGGTAAGTTAACTTCTAATATTACAGGTCATATTGTTGAGTAAGAAAAACGGGCGTAATTATTTTTCAGGCCTTTTTTTATGAGCCCAAAAGGCCATCAAATTTCTTCACATTAGGTTTTTATGAAAATAGAACTGGATTCTTAATTCCAATCTATTGCAAAAGTTAAGAAAGCTGATAAGTGAATTTCAACATAAATTTAAATTATTCATAAAATTCACTTAATTAATTACCACATTCAGGTATTAATATTTACCTAAAAATTGATTTTACAGAAATGTATCAAAAAGCATTATAAATATTCTAAATCTACATATTGAATTAATCTAACTGTTTATTAAAATTTATGGATAATTTCTAAATGATAACAAATAGACTTAGACATTACGATTAATGTGCATTTTCATATAGTTTTCTTTTGATATAGCCATTAGGATAAATTTAAAGATTTTTAAGAATTGTTATTACCTTTCAAAATTAAACCAAATTCTTTGATTAAAATACTATTACTGAAAAATAGTTCAAATATTCCAAAATAGAATATTCAATTCTATTGATCAACTGGTGATTCCGGACTAAGTTCCAGTTTCACTGTTGATTCGACAAAGTTATAATCAATACCATAAGCACGACCAATAGTGCTAAATTTTGCAAGAATTTGACTCTTATTGTAAACTTTGATCTACGTTTTAAAGTGAAGTAAGAATAATAGAAATTTGGGAAAATTAAGCATTCTGAATTACAAAATAGTTTGCAAGAATTATGGAAATTAGGAGTAAGAAGAAAATAATTACGATTTGTTGCTCTATTTCTAAGAATTTATTGTAACAAAAACAATAAGAAATCATCTAATTATACAATACTTAAAAGTAAAATTAAAAAAGATCAAGAGGAAATATAAAAGGAACCAAAACAATAAAATGATGATTTCAAGTTGAAAAATGCTAACTTAATGGAAGTGATTAAATATAAAGAACCATATATTCAAAATTTAAAATGCTTTACTTTTTCTGAAATTTATAAAACCATTTTGAGTTATCACAAAACGCAAGACTATATATAACAAAGATCTATTTCATTATGTTTAGGTGATTAAGGTATCCCTAATCAAGGCATTGTAAGATTTTGTTAATAAACTCATGATGTTATTTCTAGTTAGACTATGGTTGTTAAAAGAGCAAGAGAGATAATTTTAAGGTCTGGGTACTCTAGTAAAGAATAAAGAATAACTATATAATTTTTAACGCTTATCTTATAATGAGTAGTGGCTATTGTTTTAGCCATCATCAAAAAGAGAAATATCACAATTCAATTCCATTTGTTTTTTCTAACAATGATATTATGATTAAAGAAATCTCCGAAATAAACATTTGTAATTTGTTCATAAAAGTGTATGTTCTTGAAATTGATCCACAACTTGAGTATTATCTCTGCATTCATGGTCCGGAAAGTCGAAATTTTAATTGAAATAAATCCATGAATTTCAAAATACAATAATTGATAATTTATCTTGTTTCCTCATTTTTCCCTACTCCTTCAAAGGAAATAAAGCATGTCCTCTTACTTTAACAAAATAACATTAGAATTAAATATACTGCAGTTTAAGATCTCCATCTAGAAAAGTTAAACGTTAACAAAGAGTGAGGTAATGGAGGTTTAATCAATATATTAATCAATATATTAATACTAGAATATATTCAAATTAATCTAAATTCCATAAAATAATAAAATGAATTGAGTATCTTAAATGAACTCAATACATTTGCGCAAAAAGGAATGTGTTGAAGCACAGTATCTTTTGAAACAGTAATTTAATAAAAAAGTAACCAAATAAATGAAAACTGTCAAATTATAGAATAATATATGATTAAAATTGGTTTTGAGTAGATTCTTTACAGTTTATCTTGAGTGAAAAAATGATGAATATAGTGAGATAATTTAGATGTAACAAATTCTATCAATTAAATTTAAAAAGAAATGAATGAATATAAAAATGAATCAGAATATTTGTGAATGTAAATAAAATGATAAAAAATTGATTTGTGAAATAGATGATCACATTGAAGAGATTAATATGTTTTGTTTTATTCATCATGTAATCAGTAAAGTATTGAATTGTTGCAAATGTATTAAGGAAGGAAATCACAATTCACACCATTAAAATTTGAAACCTATTTCAAGTTTGAGAGATTTCAATGAAAAACTGAATAAAGAATGTGATAACTTGATCGATGATCTCAGTAAATAGGTTGGCCTTATAAATAAATAATTTGCTAAATTAAAGGAAGGAATTAGAAATAAATTTTAGTTATAATCTAAATAATTACTTAATCTGAATTATTGTCAATGAAAAAATAATGTTTGAGTATTTTGATTAATGTGAAACATATTTTGATAGATTATGGATGAGAGGAAATATATAATTTGTTTCAATATTCAATTTATTTTCAGCAATTTTTCAGATCATTAAGCATTGGTCTATTCATTGATTTTATTAATAAACTAGTCGATTAAAAGCTTCTATATGTTATAAGAAAGTTATTCTAACTTTTTCAATCAGATTTGGCTAAAGAGTGTATGATGGCAAAAATAAATATTAAGCTGCGCTCATCAATTTCATAAACATTTTCTTCTATGCACAGGGCTATTATCAAGAATTAACATAAACTCTTATTTTTTAATAATGATGTCTTAATGTTCTCGTTAGTAGCTAAAAATGATAACAATAAATTTATGAATTTGCATTTCCTTATATCATCAGATTGCGATAAAATTTTTGTACCTATCGGATCCAAAATCCCAATACTCCCTTTTTCTTGTTGACTTATTGAAATATTTTGCTATCATCTAAATTGCCAGCATTTTTTATGAATTCTGTTATGCCAAACGTTGTTTCGTCAATATATACGAATTAAGCGTTCTGAATATTTAAACTTAAAAAAAATTCAAGGGAGTGTTGAAATCGTAATTCTATCCTTGTTTCATTTGAGTTCCTTATATCTTTTGTAAAGAAGTCGATAAGATGCAGAACAATATTTATTTAAAGTCAATTAAAAATGTCTTAAACTTATTAAATAAATGTTTTGAATATTTATATTTGATTTCTAAAGTTCATTTGCGTATGGCTTCTACATAATTATTAATCCAGTTTACATGAATTAGACTGAAGTAATTTCTTACTATCTTATTGCAAAATTTTAGTTTCAACTCGAGATATCGGACTTCTCTTAGAGTAAGTATTGTAAATGCAGCTATAGCATCAGTAGAGTATCATTTCATCTTAGACTTCTGATTGCTGATCTTAATTGTGTGATTAATTCATAATTGCATTTATTTACTTGAATTTCAGCTCGGTTAAAATTATGCGACATTTATTAATGAGCAGAAAAATAAAAAAAATAATTCAAAAAAATCAATAATGTGCAAATACTTAATTTATGATANTGAATGTAAATAAAATGATAAAAAATTGATTTGTGAAATAGATGATCACATTGAAGAGATTAATATGTTTTGTTTTATTCATCATGTAATCAGTAAAGTATTGAATTGTTGCAAATGTATTAAGGAAGGAAATCACAATTCACACCATTAAAATTTGAAACCTATTTCAAGTTTGAGAGATTTCAATGAAAAACTGAATAAAGAATGTGATAACTTGATCGATGATCTCAGTAAATAGGTTGGCCTTATAAATAAATAATTTGCTAAATTAAAGGAAGGAATTAGAAATAAATTTTAGTTATAATCTAAATAATTACTTAATCTGAATTATTGTCAATGAAAAAATAATGTTTGAGTATTTTGATTAATGTGAAACATATTTTGATAGATTATGGATGAGAGGAAATATATAATTTGTTTCAATATTCAATTTATTTTCAGCAATTTTTCAGATCATTAAGCATTGGTCTATTCATTGATTTTATTAATAAACTAGTCGATTAAAAGCTTCTATATGTTATAAGAAAGTTATTCTAACTTTTTCAATCAGATTTGGCTAAAGAGTGTATGATGGCAAAAATAAATATTAAGCTGCGCTCATCAATTTCATAAACATTTTCTTCTATGCACAGGGCTATTATCAAGAATTAACATAAACTCTTATTTTTTAATAATGATGTCTTAATGTTCTCGTTAGTAGCTAAAAATGATAACAATAAATTTATGAATTTGCATTTCCTTATATCATCAGATTGCGATAAAATTTTTGTACCTATCGGATCCAAAATCCCAATACTCCCTTTTTCTTGTTGACTTATTGAAATATTTTGCTATCATCTAAATTGCCAGCATTTTTTATGAATTCTGTTATGCCAAACGTTGTTTCGTCAATATATACGAATTAAGCGTTCTGAATATTTAAACTTAAAAAAAATTCAAGGGAGTGTTGAAATCGTAATTCTATCCTTGTTTCATTTGAGTTCCTTATATCTTTTGTAAAGAAGTCGATAAGATGCAGAACAATATTTATTTAAAGTCAATTAAAAATGTCTTAAACTTATTAAATAAATGTTTTGAATATTTATATTTGATTTCTAAAGTTCATTTGCGTATGGCTTCTACATAATTATTAATCCAGTTTACATGAATTAGACTGAAGTAATTTCTTACTATCTTATTGCAAAATTTTAGTTTCAACTCGAGATATCGGACTTCTCTTAGAGTAAGTATTGTAAATGCAGCTATAGCATCAGTAGAGTATCATTTCATCTTAGACTTCTGATTGCTGATCTTAATTGTGTGATTAATTCATAATTGCATTTATTTACTTGAATTTCAGCTCGGTTAAAATTATGCGACATTTATTAATGAGCAGAAAAATAAAAAAAATAATTCAAAAAAATCAATAATGTGCAAATACTTAATTTATGATATTTATTATAAATTTGATTTTTTTGAAAACTAAATTCATTTTTTTATATATTTCCATTTGAAATTACATAATAGTATAATAAACGTAATATAGGCCAAAACGATTGAAAAATTGTAAATTTTTTTTGCCAATTACATTTAACTAAACAATCCATAAGGGGGAGTTTAATCTATGCATCAGTTTTGGTCTTAAAAATTACTATATGCCCAATATGGCATCTTCAATTATAACATGTGACTACCTTTTGAGAGTTGCCTTGAGAAGGTGCTTTAAGTAAGAAAAGAATAAGTGAAAATAGGTTAATAATTTGAAAAAGTTACTAAAATTAAACTATATTATGAGGTAGAAGCCATATATCAAAGAAAAAGATAAATCTTTGATTCACCATACTGAAATTTTTAGATAAAAAATGGCTTATAAATGGGCTGTTTACGCTAAATGAATAAAGCTCTATTTTCGAAAACTACATAGATGCAGGCGAAGAAGTCGTTTTTTTGACAAAAGATGATGTAGTATAATATATGATTATTAATGATATTAAAATATTGAAAACTTGCTTAGGAAGAAAAAAATCATTGAAGTTCTTTTAAATAACACATCATCAAATGGAACAAATAAATTAAAAATGTCCCAATAAAAATTATTGAATATTAAAACAAAACTTATTAGAAAAAAAAAAAACAGGCTGAATTGAATAAATATTTAGGGCGTGCACCAATATTCAAAAATAGCAAATTAATAATGCATAATAAATAAATTATCATTAAAGAATGAATGTTAATTATATTAATCGATTTGTAAAATTTCAATAAGTCAATACGAAAAAGGGAGTATTGGGATTTTGGGTCCGATAGGTATAAAAATTTTATCGCAATCGGTTGATATAAGAAAAATTAGGTAATTATAACGAAGCTCTAATTTGTTATCAAAAAGCACAAGATATAAAACCAAATGATCAAATGATTTCTCACCTAATTTTTAGACATTTGTCGAGCAACATTTCAATAATGACTTTTTAAATATTCAAATAGTTTAATAATAAATTATTTTTTATTTTTCTTTCTAGATATGTTAAAATTCTTAATTAGAGATTGGAATTAGTTTATATTAAACTCTCTTTTGTTAGGATAATACGTTCAAAATTCAAGAACACTCTTCCTTGGTTTATTAAATTTATTAAGCAACTCTGCCAAAAAATTTTTTTATATAATTTCAAATTGTTAATCATTTTTTCCAAAAATTCTAAATAATAGGATTATGACTAATATATAATTAATAATCTATCCATATATCGATTCTGATTGATGTTTTACCTTAGTAGAAACAAAATTAAAATATGAATAGAGATGCACTCTCGTACAATTTAAATTAAGTTTATATTATTATCAAGTTTTCTACCTAATTACTAAAATTTACTAAGGTAGTTAAGCCTTTTTCTAATTCAAAATAATTTATTGAGGTTTTCGCAATTTATTGAAAGATTAATGATTAAAATAAGAATTAAATAGAAAGGGGAGGAGGGTAAACTAAAGATTCATTGAAGCTTTGAAAAAATACAATTTTAATAATAATATTTGAAAATAAACAACACAGACCATATTGGTTATTGGTATTACAAAAAACTTGAAACTCAAAAACCATTTTGAAATTTTTATTATGAAAATAATCGAAATATACTAATCAAATTCAAAGCTCAATTATTAATCGCATTTAAGTATATAGAAGAGATTGATAATAGAAATTATAATTCAAATTAATCTTTCAGAAAAATAAATCAAATATCATAAATAATGAGTCAAATGTATTTGTGTACAATTTGAGGAGTAGATAAAAAATTATAATGTATAATATAATTTATTATTACATATATTGAGAATATAATGATTATAAAAATAATATTTCCAACTTAATATGGAAATTTATGTATTTAATTTAAAATACAAGTATATTTTTTTATGGATAGATATATCAA